ACTTTAACTGCTATACTTTCCTGTCTTAAAAGGCAGAACTCTTCTAGTCTAAAAAAACTTTTTTTGCGCTTTATGAAATGAAGTAGCCTATATTTTGTGGATGTACAGCTACATTTCTCATCTAAGTTTGCGTAGTTTTAACACAAACATTTATTTTTCATATTGCACCAGTACAGTTAATAAGAAACATGTAATTGTGTGCTTGTTTGTTCTGTCTAAAATGTTTATTTTGGATTCATCGATTAATCGAAAAAAAATTCGGCCGATTCATCGATTTTTAAAATAATCGTTAGTTGCAGCCCTACTGAAAATAGTATGAAAACTGAAGCCCTCTAAAAAACTTGGCACTCCAGCTGCTGTAAACTGAAAAGCAAAGAAAAAAAACTAACCAGCAAAGCAGCGAGAGGCTGACGGTGGGTCTGGAGGGGGTGGAGACTTCGTAATGGAATCTGTTGATAGTCACATTTTTAAGTGTTCACTCAACAAATCTTGCCTTTTGTCCTTGCTGTAAGAAATTGATGAAATGTGTAAGTTGCCACCAGGCCTGGATGGGATGCAAAAGAATGCAGATAATCGGCCAACAGAGCAAACAGCGGTTAAAAAGACATTGAAAAGACGACATCATTTACGTCAAAAAGACGTCTGCATTCGGTTGAAAAGTGAAAGGAGGAAAAGCCGTAACTTTAAGATTGTTGGAAAGACGTTGAAAACTAGTTTGTAAAGTATATTATTGGACTAAAGTGGGACAAAATCAGACGGACCCATCACAGCCGAATTTTCAACCACTGTTTCTGGATTAAATCCAGACTAAGATGGACCGACCAGATTTAGCCTAAAAACCAACGACTGAATGACGTCCGGTGATGCTGGAGTGCATCTATCGATCTTTCCCAACCTTAAAAACTCAAATCTTTTCAAGACAATTAAAATAAAAACTGCCCTCTGCATCATTGTCCTCCATGGTTGTTGTTTTTTCCCCGCTTCTGCGTAGCAAGACGCAGAATATTGACCTTTGTTGGGCTTTTATGACGTTCAGGTTGGATGAATGCCATCTGGCCGTCCGGACGCAGGTCACATTTAAAAAAAGATCAGATTCGTAGCGGATTCAGAACCACAGAGCCAAGTGGCCCGGATCGCATTGGGAAAAAAAATGGTTTCCAGGTCGCATATGGGTAAAAAAAAATTGTATTTGGGTCACTTCAGGATGCTGACAAACCTGACAGTCAGCCCAAGGTTTAATGAACGTTTCACATAAAACAATAACGTCAGAATAAATAGAAAACCAAGTTTTCAATTAATTTTTGTCGGGTCTACATGGTAAATTAAAATCATATAAGTTTGTTGTTTTAAAACAAAAAATGTGAAAGATCAGAATAAGCATAGATACTTTAGCAAGGCTGATCCTGCTAAAAACAGGAATCCAAGGACAAAGATGAAAAAAAGGAGTGTTTGACATCCTGCATTGTTTGCCATCACCAGATGAAACAATAGGCATTGAAATTGACTAACAGCACACAAGCTCTGTGAGTGCAAACATTTTGTGAAATCACCAAAAAGACATTTGGGTCTGTGATGCTCTTCTGTTTCAGTATCCAGAAGAGAGACAGATATCTGCTGATTTAAAAAGGTGCAGTCAGAGTAATTTGTGTTTGCAATGGATCCAACAAAGGAAAGTTCAACAAATCTTTAGATCAATGAAACAGTAAAACGATCAATATATTGGTTTTCTGTATTGATCTGAAAACAAACTTATTGCTTGGACAAGCCATACTTTTAATCTGTTTAAAACACTGAACATTGATCCACTCAGCAGCGCTTTGACTCGTTACTTTCCCCTACCTGACTCGTCATCAGACTTGTTGTCATTCTCGGAGTCGGTGAGGGTAAGAGCAGAGTTCTCACGGCTGGACACGCCTGAGCTGCGGCGAGATTTCACACCTGCACGTCCGGCCCACAGCTGAATGGCTCGCTCCGGAGAGAGGGGCCCCTCTGGGTCCGAGTCGGCGTCTGAGCCGGCACTGAGGGAGTACCCCCTCTGGAGGAGGCCCAGGTCTGGACAGTAGGGAACAGCAGCGGGATGTGGAGGGGGAGTTTGTTCGCAAACTCCCAGCTCAGCCAGGGTGAAGTTCCCCCCTGTGAGAAGGGGGGGGGGGGAGATATTTGAGTTAGGAAAATGGTTTACAAAGAGTGATGCTCATAAATGTTGCAGCTCAAACAGGAATTCATAAAAGCAAATGCACGCATGTATCTACAAAACAAACCCACAATCACACGCGGAGAAGCACACTAATTATGAAACCATGGAGGCGGAGGATGAAAATTGGGCTTTGTTGTTACAGGCAGGAGGGGGAGAGATGACGCAGCATGAATCAGGCACAAAATTCACGCTAGCTGCTGGAAGAAATGTGTATTGGCCTGCAGGCCTGCTATGGCTGGCTTTGAAAACCTGCTTCCTTGCTTTACTGATCCACTCCGGCTTTTATGAGCTGTTGATGTGAGATCAAAGAGCTGTTCACTTGAGTCCTCTTAGACGGTAGTGGAGCTGCTTTAGTTTCCTTCAGGGTTTGATCATCTCCCCACCTAGTTGCCATCACATGCTGGACCCCAGGCTCACTAAGGCTACCGCAGTCCGCTGCAGTGCTGTTCCCGGAGCCCAGCACTCTCCCCCCCTCCGGCTTGTCACATCCAAAATAAATATATAAAATTATCCAAATTAAAGCACATCAAAGAAGATCAATAAACAGCACTGGAGCCCAATTAAATCCAAGCTGAGGAAAAAGCAATTAAGAAAAAAGGCATGCTCAACCAATTTATTCTCCATACTAATTAAAAGAGTATTGTGGATGCAATCGCACACCATCAGCTGTCGGGGTAAAAGGATCAGGGGAAAAGCAGTTGTGATTGACTTCATTAGCAGTTTGTGAGCGAAAGCAAAGGAAGAGGCCAATGAAGAGAGGTTGCCACAGTGGAGGCGCGCGGCATGATTCCGTACACCGGGGATCACGCAGCTGTGCAACTCGGTTAACGGCGACTCATCAGGTGTACGGACGCAATCAGCAATGGAGAGGAATCCAAAGGAGCGAATATCTTCATCATCACGGCTCCCCCTTCACTGAAACCTCTGTGTTGTGGTGAAAGCGGGAGCTGTAAGGAAACTTAGCCAGGGAATTGGTGAAAGGCCTTTTACTTCTACTCAGACAAACAGATGGACTAGACTAGAGAGCAAAGATGAGTGAATAGCTCCACAGGTGGAAGCAGTTAATACGCCACAGCTTGCCAAGCTTTCAAATAGCTACAGTGCAAAGGCGTCCAAGCATTTCAAGGCATGAGGGAATATTGCAATTTCTCATTTTCTTTGCTTCTTTGTTGTCTGTTCCTCCCACTTATCACCAGGGATAACAAAAGGAGGGTTGTTTACTACATGGTAAATAAGGGATACTACGCTACAGTATCTAACTACATACATCTATAACCCATACCTGACATAAGGTATCGAAGAAGGACAGGAGAGAACTCCAGGATGCCTGAGAGAGTAGAAAACATGGGTCCTTTAAAAATCAATTCACAAGTAATCTTGAAGCAAACTAAACCAGCATCAGATTTGGGATGGGTCAGTAAAAGAAAAGCAGGGAAAATCGGCAGGGGACCAGAAAGGGATGAAAGGAAACACAAAATGTGTTAGTTTCTTT